ACTGATTACCTACATTTTGGACTACTGGAGACTACTTAGACTACTTCTTCACAAGGACTGTTACACTAGTGTGGGCATCTGGTATAATGACCTTTGCTGAGGTGCCCCAGTCTTTTGCTATGAATAAATTAAAAGAATCCCTCGTAGAAAGGCAAGAATACAATATGGTCAACTGCACGCATTCAAAAATCATGAATGTGATTCCACCCCATCCCCCCAAAATCCTTGAGATTAAGAAAACTGGGATTCTTTGTTCTGGGTTTGAAACTTTAGAGGTCATGTTTCAAGCTTTCTTTTGCAACCAAAAAGGATGGAAATATACTTTTTTGTTAAGTAATAGCTGACATTTGTATCTAATCACATGACTCCAGAAGCTAAAACTAAAGGGAAATACGTAGTGTTGCAGGACTTCAAACAACAATGACAAGAGTTGGCAACATGAATTAATTCTAAAAGACATCAGCAACGCCAGGGGCTTCAGGTCACAATGCAGTACCATGCAGAGATATCTTAGCTAGCTATGCATTACTTCTTTGCTAGCAGATACAGCTCAGTTTTGTGTGGTTGACTCAAGAAGGCTTTATACTACTTTGCTATTATAAATGGGACTTAACATACAATACATATTATATATATCTAATTGATGTGATATATGCTCTCTCTAGTCTCCTTTACACTGCCAGAGCAGTGTAAAAATGGTCTCAGTAGAGTAAGAATCAGGCCAGAGGCACACAGCAGCGGAGAATCTGTCTTCTGGTATTTGTATGAATAGTTCTACTGCAGTAAATGTGTCTATTGATTTGAATGAAGCAAGTGAGATTTGGCTCCAAGGTTTGCACTATGACTAAATATCGTTGCATGGATACAGCCTTGTCCCATACAGATGAAACAACATATATACCCATTTTCACCTTCTAGTTTTCTCACATAGTGGGGAATGCCCTGCAAACTGAGTTGTGCTTGTCTTTAACCATGTAAGCAGTCCTGCTGGATTATATAAGTACTTAAAGTGTATGAATACACATTTGCTGGACTGGACCCCCTAACAGTTCTGATCCGTTAAAAGAAACAAACCTACCAGCAGAATGATTTAGTTTTAAAAAAGAACTAGTTCAGCAACATTTATAAAGGCCATGGAAATATTTCAGTTTATATTAGGTTTAGAAAACTTCTTTTAATATGAAGAAACAAAGAAGTGGATATAAACCACTTAACAATGTCTTGGTGCTAACTGTACTCAGTAATATTGACCACATAGATTTCAAGCCCCAAAGGATAGGTTTCAAAGAAATCAGTACTCAGTTAACAGATAATAACTTTGTTATGGAAATCTAGATTTAATGGACTATTCATTGTGTACCCTTTAAGCAACAGCTAGTTATGAGTTATTTAAAATATACATATTTCTTAGACCTCAAGCTATACTAGAGACTCATTCCTTTACCTAAGGAAAAAATATTGACATAAGATTAATTAACAGGCAGATGGGATTTATTTAAATATAATAACTAACTTATGAAATCTAAATTAAATGCATATGGGGGAAACTTGATTTACCTTAAAAAATGGATGATCATGGGCCCAAAATGCCAGACTAATTCTCAGACAAAACCCTATACATTTTAGGGCCATGTTTTCAAAACACATTGTACTGATGCATAACTAGAATGAAAGAAAATGGTAATGTGCTGAAGCCCTCTAGATCAGTGGTTTTCAACCTGTGGTCTATGAACCCCTGGGGGTCCACAGACTGTCTAAGGAGTTTGCAAATGATGACTATGATCAGTCAAAAGTACGTGAATACCTACACTTACAATTCCAAGGGGTCCGTACCTCCATTTGAATTTTGTTAGGGGTCCGCAAATAAAAAAAAAGGTTGAAGACCATTGCTGTAGATCCATGACTGATCTGATCAGAGCTGTAACTGGGTGGCTCTGAGCCCTAGGTGGTGGTGGCACACAGGGCAGCAGCTGCAGTTGCGCTGTCAGCTGTGGCATGACAGCTAGGAAAGCAGCAGCGGTGGCTGTTATTTTTGTGCCTCCCTGCACCAAAAGTCAGCACCTGGGGCTCTGATTGCCTCTCCTTAGTTTCATTACTGAGTCGGATCTGTTACTGCATTAGCTGTCTTATCACGCACATATGGTGAAATCCCTTCTTGTGCAAAGGATTAGAACAAATTTCTATGTATCATGTAAATCCAAAATATACTGGAAGTGCATCTTAAATGGTGCATAGTTTTTTGTCCTGACCTTTTGCCCAAGAGGGAAGTTCTTCTATGCTGTAGACAATGTATTTTGAAATATTTTAATTTAAATGAATATGAGTATTGACACTTGAGACCATTCATGTGCTAATATACTTGTATTTGGAATGTCACAAATTCACTCTCATTCAATGTACATTGCTTTGACTCCAGTGGACACACAATTTTATTTTTAACTTAAAAATCCATGGAAATTCCATGCAAACAAAGTTGGTTACTGTAACACTAAAACTAAGAATGCAAATGTCTGCAGGAAATTCACTGGTAGATCTCTCAGAACTACCACAACTCAGTCAATTTGTTCATAAATATATTTTAATGAAATAAAAAGTAGCACAGGTTGCTGCATATATGCAAGCATTTTATATTGTGATTTTTGCAACCATGAACTGCCAGGTTGTTCACGTAGTTTTCATTAATATAGAATTAATCTTTTTTATTATATTGAATATACATAACTAACTACAGGCCTCCATCATCTCCTATACAAGTTCTTTCTGACATATACTTAGAAGCATGCTTGTATGATCTACACTACCCTCACTAAAAGGGTAATAAAACACTGGAACAGGTTACCCAGAGAGGTTGTGGAATCTCCATCCTTGGCTGGGATGGTCTAGTTGGGGCTGGTCCTGCTTAAAGCAGGGTGTTGGACTAGATGACCTCTTGAGGTCCCTCCCAACCCTACTTTTTTATGATTTCTATGATCTTCAAGCTTATTCAGCCTAATCATTTATTCAGTTAACAAGCCTGAGTAGTTAGGCTGTACAGGCATTTTGCAGCAAGGGGGACAAAAATCTCTTAACTGAAGTTGTTCAATAGCTGTTAAGATGTACTATAGAAGTGGCTCTGAAAGATCTCCTAGCCTTGCCCACTCCTTGTTGTCACTTATTTGCCTAGCAAAAGGGGTGTGCTATTCCAAACACTGGAAGGAACTAAAAGGCCTCTATTTCTTATGTTGTCACTGAAGCAGCAGCATGATTTGTTGTGTATTGCACAGGAAAAATATAGGAGGATTAGCCATAGCAGGGGCTTGCACTCAGAAGACCTGTTTGTGAATGGACAATTGTGTATGGAGAACTTTTCATATAAAAAATGGAGACTGCAAAGTGAGAATCAGTACTTTTAAATGCTTTTTTTTTTTTAAAGCAGGGAAGATATTTGCCCCTCAAATGACTAAACAGTGGGTCATTTGAGGAGACTGCTACAGCCTGGTCAAGGAGCAAAGGAACTTGTGGAAGTGGAACAAATAGATCAATAAGCTACTGAGACGAGCCCTGATTAGGAAAGCATCTCTAATCATGAAGGAACTTAAGCATGTATTTAAGTGCTTTCCTGAATTGGCGCCTTTGGTTAATTCCAAGCTCCTAGAGCATATAATAACTCATGATCACCTTTCAAAGAAGTGGCCATCGATGGGAGGGAACCATTCCAGGGTGATGGAGGTTGATGTTCGGTCTACGATCTGTGGGGCGATGGCAATGGGGGCTGGCTTCTTGGCAGGCTGCCAGCTCTGGTATACCAGGTCCAAGTAGCAGTGCATTCTTGCTACTTGATTGGGCGTGAAAGAGTTGGTGCAGTCATCATCTGAAAGCCAACAGAATGAGAGAGAGGGAGAGAGAATTATGAGCTGGTAAATGTGAGCTTCTGAGCTCCTTGCGGATGACAGGAAGGGCTCTCTCAGGGTGCAGGAGTTAATGGTCTGTGAACAAATTAGTGTAGTCATCACTTCTGGAGACAGGTGAAAGGAAACAGAAGTAAAAAAAGAATTCCTCCTTTTTCCTGTGTCTTGGGGCACACATGAAGATCCTGAAGATCACCCCAAGGTGGACAGTGATGCACAGAGGTCCAAAAGAATCCAGAAAGCCTGAGTGCAGCCTCTTTTGGTCAGAGTTGGATCTACGCTTGGACTGGAAATGGAAAAGGTTTTCATTTAAAAGGAAATGTGGGAAAAGAAAGGAACATAAGTACAGTTCAGTGTAAGTTTTTTTTTTTTCCAAACCCTCCTCCCTTATCCCATCACACACACTTCTCCAAACCAATTTGTGGAAAGCATCGAGTCCTCATCCTTGTCCTCAGTATCTTCCTGCTATAGCCAGTTATGAGCTAAGGTTCAGGGGAAGAGATTGCCCCATGTAACAAGGACTTAAGAAGTGGTAACAAGGACTTTTGATGGGGCAGTCACAGGGCCCAGGGGGAACACAGAACCATCTGCACCAAGAAATGGAAGTTTCCTTTTCTTGATTTGGTCTCCAAAGATTGGAGGTTTTCTTGGACTGCTTCCTCAACTCCGAAGTCTAATAGGTTAAGGAGCTAAGCGGTTTTGTTCTCAGAGACAGAAAAGGAGGGAGCACCCACTTGCCACCCCCTTAGAGAGCCAGAAGGAAGCAAGGGACACTAAAGAGACAACCATATCAAAGTCAGCAACGTTAGCTCAGGCAGGAAGGCCGTAAACCATATTTCACTACTGAACAGAGGGGACATCTATACATGTGCTTTAATGTACAGTAGCCTCTTCCAATGCACATTAAAGTGGCATGGAGAAAACTGTGCTAATATGCTAATGTACAGTAGAATAGGTTACCATGCATTAAGCATCACTAAAAAAGTATGCACTTTTGCTACTGTGCATTAGGGCAGCCTAATGTGCCTTTATGTAGTACTTCACATTAGAGGTACCAAACAGTGCACAGTAGCAAAAGCACATGAATGCACCTGTAGACGCACCCAGAGAAAACAAAATGAGTTGCCCAATGTCACACAGAAAATCTAGGGTAAAGCAGGGACTGAACCCAGAGCTCACCATTGCCAAGCTTGCACCTTAGCTTGTCAAAGGTCCTTTCCTCCATTCTGGCCCTTTTCCAGCAGACCCCAAAGAGAAATATTTCTTGCTGTGTTCATGTAACATGTAGCTCAATAGGGCCTGAATCTTAGCAAGGGATTCTGGACACAACAGTGGTGCAACTACCAGTGAGTTTTGCACAATTCTGTTGTGAGAGTGGTGGATTACTGAAGCTGGGTCAGTTGTTTGCTTATTGGAATATGTGGCCAATTTGATGTATTTTAAGGTTTAGTTATACGTATTAGCAGGTGTTCTGATGCCTTCAGGTTTGAGCTCAAGCAGAATTGGAGAGCATGAAAATGGTCTCAAAACTGAGTGAATTTACTGGCTTGGTAGAATTCTCTCCACTCCTCCCACAAACTACAACGCAGGGAGGCTGCTCTGGTTGGAATCGGTGCTTAAATTGCAGCACTGATCACTTTTTTTTTTTGCTGAACCAAATGCAGGAGACTGCCTAGGGATTGTATACTTTCCAGTATGTCTCCTTGGCAAATTCCACAGAGTAACTAACTTCCCCTCATCAAACACGACAATAAGATAGGCAGGGGCAGTTGATTTGAAAATATCCATTAAATCCCACTGGCCAGCCTGAAGCTGCTGTTTACATGCAAGAAGCCACATTAATGTAGCGTCCTTGGATTTCCTCAATAATTATTGATGGTCCTGAGCATCCTGTAAAAGCCATAAATATTCCTCAAGGAAGCCCCAAAGTGCACAAAGGCCTCTAATAGCCATCATAAAGGAACAATAAAATATATACAGGAGAGCTTGGAGACAATGGCGCAGGGGGAAGATGACCTGCATTCTCTGCTGGAGCTTGCAGTCAGTCTAAATATCTGCATGGGCTGCTGTTTTGTGGGAGAAGAGCTTTAAACATTAAATTGGTGCTCAGCTATCAGAGCTGGATGCAAGATCACAGAGAAATACCTAAACAGACAGACTGACTTGTCAATATTACCTGTCTGTTTAAGTCCAAAGAGAGCAGAGAAGATATATTTGAGAGAGACGAACAGATATTAATTGGAATGAAAGCAAGCAAACAAGAATTTAGAGCTGCATGACCTCAACCTAGATGTTTCAAAGGTATTTCTACAAAGATTTGATATCCTGATATACATTTTATTCCACTGGGAACAACAAAAAAGCAAACAAACAGATTCATGCATGAGCTCTAGAGATGCCTATCGTGTTGCTTCACTTATTTTTTCAAGAATAAATAATAATTTCTGTCCCCAACACCAGCACATCTCTAGTTCCCACTAGTAGATAGATATCTCTTTGTTCTGCCTGTCGGTGTCATCTGTTGATAGAGTTAGCAAGGAAGGCTCTCTCCAGACAGAAGAAATCTCTGCACATCGAAACATTCGTTCCCCATCCCAAGGCTTTTGCCCCTGTCCACATCCCTGAAAATAGTGATTGGAGGTGTGTTATTACCAAAAAGTGGTAACTACATCCAGGTGTGAGACTGTTGTAGAAACTTAGTAGGTAGAATTGGTTTCCTACTATTGTGCTCACAAGAGGTGCACAACATGTGGAAAGGAGCTGGCTTGCTCTGTACATATTTGTCTTTGAAACTACACCTTAAAAGAGGGGAAAATAAAATAAAAAATTAGCACTGCTTTAATCCACTGACATTGTAGGCTTAAATGTATTTTGGTTATAAAGCAAACTTCCCCTTTGTCTTAGGCCACTCACATGGCCCCTTGCATGAAAAATCTAGCCATGGCAGGAATAGAAAAATGCCTCAAAGCAACTGTAACTAAAATAGTTCACTCATTAGTTGCATCCTCTCTTTGTGGAGTAAAGGAGTCTTACCATGACTGGAAATCAGGACTTAGAACCCCATGAAAAGGAGAGCAGTGAGCTCACCAAGGCATCGGACACTATCTCCTGGGATTCTTCGTTTGCCCTTAAACTTCCAGCAGGCAGGGGCAGCGATCCCATCCCCCATGCCCATGTGTTATCTGAGGGAGAGGCACTCGGAGAGCTCAGCATTCCTTCCTAGTGCTAAACTGAAATGTCAGCATGGAGCTCCAGCCCATGTGTGTACTACAGATTTCTGCCAGCACAGCTTTGTCAGCCAGCAGTGTGGAGAAGTATGTTCCCTGTCTGACGTACCTGTGCTGGCAGAACCCCCTTTAGTAGATTGACAAACTGTGCTTTGCTGGAATAACTTGATTCACTTCTTGGCTGTGGTTTTACTGCTTTGTTATTGTAGAACTAGGAGTGCTTTGTAAGGATGCTATACCAGGACTACTTAACTAGGAGAGCACTCCAAATGTAGACATAATACCAGTCATGAGAGACAGATTTGAACCCTTGACAGTGCAATGCAGAGATGGGAGGGATGGAAACAGAGCCAGACCAAACCATGCAAATGATATAGCAGACAACAAAGAGTATGATCGGGCACATCCAACCACGTGGCTGGCACAAGTCTCCAGCCTACATTTATCATGTTGGTAAGGGAGGAGAGTTGTAACTGCCAAGGCCAATCTTTTCAAAGAAGATCCCAGAGGTCATGCACTCAGATCCCATTGACATTAATGGGGATCAGGGTGCCTAACTAGCTTCAGTACCTTGGTCAATCCCAGCCTAAATTTATCGGAGTTGAGCCTTAACCACCATATGTTTGGATGAAAAATATCATGGGAACATCGATGACAACGCCCGGCCACAACATTGATAGAACATCCCATCTGAAAGAAGCCAATTATAATCTAGTCTCCCGCGACTCCCCCTCACCCCCCAAGTCTATTACACAGCATCCTTCTTCTCCCCACTCCCAGAAGAGTAGGAAAAGCCGGAGTACCTGCATAGCTCATGAAGTTGCTGTATGGTGTGTTTAGGAAACTGCGAAAACCACATGTGTCATTGCCAGGCCCAGGGTCCCCACACAGCTTCTGCTTTGGAGCTGGGTTGGTATCACTGCAGAGGTCTCCCGTCTCAAATGAGGGCTCGGTTTCCATGCAGGGGTCACTGCAGGATAGGATCTCGGAGATTCCCCGGAAGACGTGGTAGAGCCCCAGGCTGTGCCCAATTTCATGGATCATTGTATGTGTGTGGCCGGGGATGCCATAAAAGGATGGATTCAGCACAATACCACCTGGGGGAGAAGGAGAAAAGGATGGATTCAGCACAATACCACCTGGGGGGAAAGGAGGGGCATTGCATTTATCTTACGTGATTGGAACATCAGGGGGTAAGGAGGTGGAGAACATTTATAGGTCTAAGTCTTACTGTTCATCATGCCATTATGGTACTGAGCAGGGAACTGAGACTGCTCTGCCCAGAACAGAAGATAGTCAGCTTTTTGCAGGCTTGACACCAAATTAATCATGTAAAAATGCTGTGTCTACAAGAGCTTAAAGAGTTAAAGATAATGCACGATGGGGCCCATATGACTATGTTTTGCTATGGTACTGGAAGGATGAGGAAGCCAGGGACAAATCCTGTAGTCCTGATTCAAAGTTCATGGATGTCAAAAGGAATCTTTCCATTTGTTTAGCAGGCTTTGAATCAGGCTCTTACGTTATTTGGACAAAGTTCCCGTTAAAATCAATAAACTCTTCCCAGCTTACATCAAACCTGGGTATAGTCCAGAGCATTTGAATGCAATGATCCTTCATGACAGAATGTAAACAGTACATACACCGTACATTATTTACATGGGACAACGTCATATATAACAAAACCCTACTAACTCACAGAACAGTTGAAGAGGTATGTTGCATATTGGAGAGATCTGCCAATTAATAAGTGGACAAAGAAAACTGACGCTATTTTCTAATTCAAAGGGAGAAATTTTAAAATCAGTTTTGAAAATCTGTACTTAAAGATACTTTGCTAATTTGCTATTCAAGTGTGGTTTAATGAGAACTGTTTGTGGTATTACTTCACAGTACACTAGTAAATATGCAGGAGTCTAATTTGTAAAAAACAATATGACATCTTACTATTGTGATAGCTCATTAGACCAACTTTATTGTTAAATGTTTGCAAAGTAGTAAATGTGATTTTTTGGTGTGTGAATTATGGAATAGATAAGCAAATGGCAAATTAACAAGGTTCTGCAGTACATTGAATTAATAATGAGAATGATATTTTTAGCTGAGCCACAGCTCTGTTTGGATTTAGTGCTCTCTTCCATATTTGTTTTATTTAGCATGTTAAACTCAACTTTTTTTATAAGGCTTTTAGTTTAAAGTGTTTACCTACATTGCCTATTAAGATTAGGAAAACCCATATTAAAAAGAATAATGGTAAAATAAATCTTGGACGTAATGCATAGCTAATTTAGTGAGAGAGATGAGAGAAATGGCATGCAGGAGGAATTTTATCAGCGGCTGCAATACAGTGAAGATGAGATCATGAAATTATGATGCATCACAGATCCGATCCACCGTCATCTTTTTGGTGACTCTTGTTGCAACAGTAAAGGGGTATGAGCAGGGTCACGAACACGTGAAAGATTGCCTGTGTATGTGTGTTGGGGAGAGGAGTCATACCCATTCTTATGTATATTTTATGTAAGTGTGTGAGCAATACAGTGAGGAACATCTTTGCCGGTGTCGAAAACCAGCATAAAACTCTCTGACCTGTTTTAGCCCCCCAGGAAACAGCACCAGGAAACTGTATAATCATTTCAAGACACGGAACTGGTCCCTGCTCCAGCCCTGCATGGGTCAAATTGAGGAAATGTAGATCTGTTTTTATGTGGATTCTCTGATCCTAGTGTGCTGGTCCTTTCTTTAGGAGGACAATATGACTGCCACCTCCCTATCCTTCCTGCACAGCACCTGCACAGATGCCCAGGTCTTTGACCTCTGCGCAGGTGGAATGAATTTCTCCAAGACAGAACCTCTGTTAAGTATTTTGTGATGGCCCATTACAAAAGGATGCTCTTTTGGGCTTATTGTCTAGTGCTGGAAATCTTGGCACAAGCCTGAAATAGGAGAGGCAAGTACAATAAAGGTTGGCTAAACAATATTGGCATTGGACTGTATTGGGCTGTATGGGCAGGGCTGTTTTATTTTCTCCTTTGTTTAAGACGTATATTTTTCACAGATGTCAAGAGTCTAACTCAATTGAAGTTTTCCAGAAAAGATAACTGCCTCACCCAGATAATTTATATTCCAGTGCTTAGATCTGGACTACAGCACATATTTCATATTTTTTTTATTAAACACATATTGGATTTATGGAAGAAATAAAAAAGAAAAGATTCAAAATGAATTCTTACTGATCAACCATAGGACTGGGATGGCTGTTCTAATACAATTTTTTTCTTACTGTTTTCCTCATTGTGAGTCAACCTGAAATGGCTAGTTAAGGTTTTCTACTCAGCTCTTGCTCTGGTCAATCTGTTCTGTCAATAAGCAGCTTTGTTAGGCGATACTGTTAATGATTAGCTATAATTATATGATAGAACAACTAATACAAACTTCAAAAGGAGTCCCATCACCTCTCTTTCACTACAGAAAGTCCTCCAAAGATTATTTCCTGAGCTGAGTAAAGAGTTCACTAATTCTCTCTTTTCACAGTTACATGAAGGATAGGTAAAGGTGCATAGCCACATGAGTCTGAAGCCAGGCAGAAGGCAGGGCCAGGTGGCACCTTAGAGACTAACTTGTTCAGAAAGGCATAGGCTTTTGTAGGTGACAGGCTACTTAGATGATATGAAGAAGAGATGTAGGACTATTAATTTTTGTAGAGCTGGGTATTTTTCCGGTCCCATTTTATCTCAGCAGGAGTCACTGTTTCCATAGACTCACAGAAAAGTAGGGCTGGAAGAGACTCTGGAAGTCGCCTGAGGCAGGATCGCCTCTGTCCAAACTATCCCATAAAAAATCCTTTTCTAACATATTATCCAAACTACAGAAATCAACTCCATCACACAAGGCACAGCATCCTAACTTGGCACAGGTAAAGCAGGGGAATAATGGCGGTCAGTGTCCTGGTGCTGCAGGGGTTGTTACAATACGCTCAAGAGATCCAAGGAAGAGGTCCATGGCCCCCACTACAGAGGAAAGCAAAAACCCCACAGTCTGTACCAAGCTGATTATGGGATATCATTTCTTCCTGACCCTAAATGTTGCAAATTGTTTGGCCCAGAGCCAAAGGACAAGAGATCTCTTAAAAAAAAAATGCTTGTGATTAGCTGTAAATAAATGACAGAGCAACAAATCAAAACTTCCAAAGGAGCCTCATCACCTCTTTTCCTGTATAGGAGTGAGCTGCTATAGGAAATGTAGTAGGATTGTTGACTGTGGGGCATTCACAGCTATCATGTCCCAGTTGCTTTTAGCAGGGGTCAATAAAGAGAACATTGTAGAGATATAGGGGTGTAAGGAACCCCTAGGTTCCAGCATTGTTTTGCCAGACTCATGTAGGGGAGGGGTCCACAACTTTTGCTGACGGGAAACGCACATCTAAGAAAAGCAAAACTTCCCATGGCTATAAGGTCTTGAAGGTAATGTTCTACGAGCCAGAAGTTAGGGACCACCGCTATGGGAAATGGTGCAGGTCCTGGGAGAACTTTCTGTTGTACACAAATGCCAGAAGTCTTCTCCAGCAACAGCTGCAGTGATGAATTCCGTATAAAATACCAGCTAACTGTGGTGGGGCCCTGGCTTCAGTGCATTGGCCTGACTAGAAATGGTGTCTGCAGTCATATGCAGCCCAAGGGACAAAGATGTTCCTAGTGATACCGAAAAAAAATTCTTGGATACCTGGTTTATGGCTCCTGTTACATAATCAGGATTAAACCAATCACCAGATTTGGAGTCAGGAAGAAATTATCCTTCAGGCCAGATTGGCAAAGGTCTTTTTTTCTGCCTCTGTAATCATCTAGGTGGAGTTCATGTCAGATTTTCTGCCATTTCACCAGGCCAAGACATAAGCAGTACCTGGGACCTCCCTTGCTCTTTTTCTGAGGCACAGTACAGTTTCTGAAGTTTTTAGCCTTTTGTACAAAAGGTCTTACAATTGTTTTAAGATTTCCAGGGTGTTTTGTTGCTTTCTGGTGCACAAGGGAGTGGAGAGAGAACGTTTCTGTGGACCAGACTGGGCTAAACAGCTACTATATGTTTGCAGGGGGCCAGGTTCAATGAACTAGTAGTCCCATCCTGCCCCGTGTTCCTACGACTGAAAGGAAATGATAACATATTGGTTTCTGTGTATTGTGTCTTTGAACATAGAAAAGCTTCCTGGAGGGCTTCAGAGCCAGTGGCGAGGTTGCAATGTTGTGCTTCAGTTCACATGCAGAATGCTAGTGAGTAATCCACACCATACGCTGTATCTCATATGGACTGTATATTTTGCCATTTCTTTGTTGTTTTGCTTCATCTGAAAACAGTTTGGGCTCAAATAAGATATGGATTGAGACAACTACTCCCAAACACCGAATGCAATATAAACCACACATTATTTTGGGTCTAGAAAAGTCTGGATCCCGATTCTAATTTCCCCTATTATTATTCACATATTTTGCCTGCTGCTTCTGACTGCTACTGGATGCAGGAAGGTCTGGAAAACATACAAGAAACCTTGTCCTTATAAGATTTGCAGTCTAGTTTTGCAGCTATAGGGGGGTTCCTATTGTTTAGAAAAGTGCATCCAGACTCTTTGGGTACATAATGAAGTAAGCCCTCTTCATCTGTGGAAGCTTATTAATAAGGAACAGAGCCACTCTGGCATGGTGGGTGTCCAGGCAATGACTCATTTGGTAGGTTGTTCTGCTTCCTTTGGATACCCAGGGTTATAGCAGCTATATTCAGCAAACTAAACTATGAACCATACAGGCCAACCTGCAGGACAGCATATTCTTTCCAGTTCCACTCAAATGAACATGAGAAAATCAGGGCTCTTCAGCTTGCTTTTTTGCACATTGAGAACAACAACAACAAATCTGCATTATATGTTGTGAGGAAAATTAATAGAAATAATTCTAGGTAATGGGCTAAGGTTAATAACGTAATGGCCCAAGGTTAATAATTCAGAGCTGTCCAACCTTCACCCCTTGCCATTCTTCTCCCACCTTCTTTGCGAAGTGCTCCCATGGAGCTGATGCCCTGTAAAGTAGCTTCACTTAATAGGTGAAATATTTTCAGCCTGACATCATCTACAAATACCATAATATGCTTTGGGTTTATCATCTAATATTTTCCTGGTTGTGAGCCAGTATCTGGGAATCGTGGATTTTTTTTTTCCCCTGACTATGTAAGACTATTAGTGGAATGATAAGACACCAGCGCAGAGCTTAACACATACTTGTCTTCCCTTCTTAGCTCCTAATAAGAAAATTTTACTAGGAGGTAGCAGCTTTGTGACTCACCTAAATGCATTAGGGCTTCTTTATCCCAAGGCCAGGTGGCCACTCCAGCCAGCTCTTCTTCAGAGGAGTTAGCAAAGAAGATGTTGAGGTGTGTAGATCCATCCAGTTTCAGTATATTCTTTAGTTCATTGACATCTAAATATGCTCTGCAACACAAAAAATAGCATTTTTCTAATGACACCAGGATTGGCAGTGTCTGGGGAAGCTGAAAGCCAGGTAAAGATCCATAGAAAGCCATGAACAGGAAGCACTTGAGAACATTTAATATACTACTCTCAAATCTCAGTTTTTTATCATACTTTGCATTTATGTCGTGCCTTTCATTTGATCAAACAGAGGTCACAACATTCAGGGTAGATATCCAAAATTGCTCACCTTTTTGGCAGAGACAGAAGTTTCTATTTTGTTTGTCCTCCTTCTGACTAATATATCAGGCTGTATATCCAATTACTTTACATACCTTAATAAACTTGTTACTGCTACCTATTCCTCTATTCTGGAATATAATGGCAAAGTGAAGGGCAATGCCCTCACTATAGTGGCTCATAAACTAGATGGTAACAGGCTATTAGTGCTCTCAGTTCTTAGAGTTATTTCTTTAGCCAAAGCGGTAGAAGTTGCCCCTGAAGAATTAAAGCAAGATGATGACTCTGGTCAGGAGCAGCTATATCCAGCAAGCATACAGCAAGAGTAGAGCAGAAGAATAGGTTAGATTTGGTAGATCAAAATTCTTCAGAATAAGAAAAAAAGCGAAGCACTCATTGGCAAGTGGCGCATGAGACATCTGATAAGGCAAAGCAATGAGAGGCTATTATAGATAGAGATAGAAACATGAGAAAACCATGAAATAAAACAGGCTCATTCTACATCCTGATACAGAAAGCAGCTAGGGGATCCCTGCTTGTCTGTTTGTACTGTATGGTTGAATAGAAAGGCCACACTTGACATTAGTATGTGGGTTCGAGTGCTGAGTTAGTATTACTTCTGCACGTGTGTCTGGATGCAGTGGGTAGCTGAGCTGCTACATTCTTGCAAGTAGGTCACTTATCTTGTTTCCTTAGCTAGGCAAGTCAGCTCTGGGTTGAGGCTTTCAAAGCAGTTTTTCTCTCAAAATGGCTTGGCAACCATAATACACACATCAACCAAACCACAATAAACAAAACAAGCATGCATGCAAGCAAGCAAGCAAACTAAGCCTGCTGCCCTCCTTCAGATAAAAAGAGAGAGGCCTTTCTAGCTCTGTGCCCCTCCCTAGCACTACAGCCTGCCCTCTTCCTTCAGCAATCCTTTCCTGGAGTTCCTAAGCCTCTTGGTGGCTGTCTTCTCCTTAGCAAGTTATCAGTATCAGCTTGTCCCTAGCCTCCCAGCCAGGCTGCCTATTACCCACTGACCAGCTGCAGTTGGGTTCCAGGCTCTCGAGTCAAGTACCAGGGGTGTGCAAAACAGGCCCTATTTGATTCGTATTTGGCCCAAATCAGGGCCATTGATTCAATTTGTTGATTTGGATCACTGTCCCTGATTCGATTTGGCCGAATCCAAAACTAAAGATTTGATGCTGATTTGGAGAATCAGCGATTCGGACATAAGCACAGATTTAAATGTTTTTTCTATATACCTCAAGGTACCAGTGTGACTTGTGATCGCTGCGATGCTGGGGTGGATGAGGCGTCCCTCAGGAGTGTTTGGGGGGCCCTCCACGTGCTCAGAGGAAAATCTGGAAGTGGACCGGAAGGACTTCTGGTTCATTTCTGGGTCTGCTGAGGAGTGTGCAGACCCCCCCCCCCCCCCCCCCCCCACCCCTCGCCCCCTTGGCTTGGCAATCAGCTGCAGGGAGACTCCGGGTGCTCCCCCAGACCCAGGAGGCACCTGTTGCTGAGCCGGGGAGGCATGGGAGGCCCCCCAGTGAGCTCTCCGGCAGACCTGGAAGTGGACCAGAAGTGGTCCTGATCCATTTCTGGGCCTGCTGCTGAATGTGCTAGGGAGCCCCCTGCACTCCTGTGGGACACTCCATGCACCCCAGCATTGCAGCACTCACGAGCCACCTGCTACCTAGAGGTATGTGGAAAAAACGTTTAAAGCTGTGTCTATGTCCAAATCTTTCTGGATCGATTCGGAGAGATTAAAGGGTCCTCTGATTCGATTTGGATTCAGAGATTTGGCTACCAAATCGGGCCGAATTTCCACCAAACCAAAGCTTTGCACAGCCCTGTTGAGCACCTCCTTAAAATTTTCCTCTTTCTCTATTCCCACAAAAGTCCTAAATCATTAGAAATATGTGCGTTTAGATGACAGCCCTGGGACTGCAGCTCTGAGTCACCGACAGTGATCTAACTTCCATTCCGAGCGGTTGCCGGTTTCTTATGTCTACCATCTTGGGGGTGGATTACGCCTACTAGCTGTTGGCCACAGTGCATCTGTGGGCACTGCAGGACCAAGGCCGTGACATAAATTTGCTCTTTCAGATCCTGCAAGAGGCGTTAGATTTCTTTCTGAATTCTGAAACATCTGCAGGGTTACAGGGACGGCTCCCTGAGGGGAGGCCAACCCAGTCCCATGGGCTCCATGCCTTTTCTGAGCATATTTAGCTCTTGCACACAGTATGCCATGAAAGGATGTCATCTGCCCCCAAGCACGTACACAGCTGCCTTACTAGAGGGTATGTCATTAAGTGCCAGCAGTCTTGCAGCAGTCCAAATTAACGGAGCACAAATGGTGAGAAAGTAAAGGGTGAAGGTGAGAAGACCAGGCAGGGCTCTAACCAACAGGAATAAACAAATGAAAAATGTTGAGGGAAAAGTTGGTGTGGAAGCTGGTGTTGGCATAGGAACACAAACCTGCTTTCTTCTCTTGATGCCTCATTAGCAAAGCAGCCAGTACCTCATGGGAAAATACTGAGGGTATCAGATACTGTACATTCAGATGAAAAAAAAATAGACTCCCTAAACAAAATCTATAAGAAACGAGGCAGATTTGTCACACAAGCAGTATCCAGGGAGGCAGAAATGCATGGGATAATCAAGGTAAAAAAAATCAGATTTACTTCCCGTTCAGTTTCCTCATCCAACTTACTTCCTAGCTTTTCTGAGGAACAAATCAAGAAGACAGAAGTTTGATCCTTATGTCCCGCTGACACCTCAAATTGAAAAGAAGCTGCCTCTGCTTCTCCTCCCCCATACTCCCACGTGAAGAGAAAGGTGACCTGGTTCTGCACTTCCTTGTCTCAGTTTCTCAGTTTGTAACATTGGAAGTTAGGAGTTTCAAAAATGTGTAAGAACTCCCAAAACAAGGTCCTCTGAGAGTCAAGCGAAGTTAGGTACCTAATCCCCTTAAGCTTCTTGGAAAATCCCAGAGAGTGCCAATAGTTCATACCTAATTTTTGTAGTGCTTTGGGATCATTAGATGAAAGAAGCTATGCATATGCAGCATTGTTACGATGATGACAATATACTGAAATCAAGATTTTGTTTACTGAGAGTGCCCATACACACGCACATACCACACACGTACTTTATGAGGCACTAAAATCATTGCCACAAGTGACTGAGCTGAGGCAGAATAGATGGTGCTGAAACCAGTGAAGGAAGCAGAATGTATAGCAACAACAAAGACCATTTTCTTTGTAAATGATTCTAGAAATATCAAAGAAATAGGAGAAAAATACAGAAAATAGGTCTTAACATAGGGGTGGGGTCAGGAGGAGTGCTAAGTCCTTAAGATGCTGAGAATCCACAACCCTTATGAGTTTTGATTCTGATCATTTTATACCAGTGTAAATTAGGTATAATTATCCACACTCAATTCAGTGGTAGCACACTGGAGTAAAACTTAGGTCAGATCGTTCTACTAATAACAGTTATAAAGGTATGGCCCTACTGTAAGTATTTGTATGCAGGAGCTTAAATTCTTTCAGAGGTTCTGTTCAGTTTGGAAAAGCAATTAAAGTTAACAGATTAGAAGGCTGGAAAGAACTATTCTGATTTTTGTGAGCGACATAGGCCGTAGAACTTCCAAGGATTAATGCCTGAAGTACAGCAGATCTTTTATAGGGGAAATAAAATAAAATAAAATCTTGATTTTAAAATGCTTAGAAATGAAGACTTCACCACAATCCTTGGAAAGTTGTTCCAGTGGTTAGTAACCTTCGCTATTAAAAATTAGTGCTTTACTCTGGAGTCTGAAATTAATTAGCTATAACTTCCAGCCCTTTGGCCTTCCTAGACCTTTGCATGATAGACTATGTTGACTGAGTCACTCCCTAGCCTCCTCTTTGATATGTTAAAAATACAGAGCTCCTTAACTCTCAGCATGAGGCCTGTTTTCAATCCTTTAACCATACCTGTGGCTCTTCTCTGAACCCTCTCCAGTTTTTCAACATCCTTCTTAAATCTTGAAGTGTAGACATCAGAACTGGGCACAGAACACCAACAGTGGTTACACTACTGCCAAATACCTTGCTGTTCCCACTTAATATCCTACTCTTGATATATCCAAGAATGAGAATATCCCTTTGGCCACAGTACTGCATCGAGAGTTCATGTTCAGATGATTTTAATTATTTGCTTTCCTTATTAATCTCCTATGAGTAGTATTATTCTTTATTCCATATTTTGTTTGCTATCTCCTCACTATATCAAATCACAGGAAAAGGGATCTCAAGATGTCATCTACTCCATTCTTCTACTCTAAGGCAAGATGGATTATAACTAAAACAGATATTTGCTTAAGTCAATTAAAAAAAAAAAACCAACAAAACCCCCCCACAAACAAAGCAAACAAACAGACCTTCTATCGCAGTGATACAGATTTCATAACTTCCCCAGATAACTGATTTCAGCACCTAGCTATTCTTATACAATTAGAATTATTTTCCTAACGTCTATCTTACCTATATTTCCCTTGTGCTATTTTGTTTCTGGCTCTTTCACTTGTGGACACATAGGGAATTTATTACCTTCTTCTTTGCAACTACTTATTCAATATTTGAGAATTTATCACTAGGGACCTACCTAAATTACAGTTTTGCAGATTGTGTGGAAACCACAAAAACCAGCATTGTCTGACATTGGCCATGGTTTCCCACAAAGTCAACCAAAAAAAAAAAAGGGCGGTGGGGAGTGAGGTATACTGAGCGAAGGTGCCCTCTGCC